GAATGCTTAGCATCCCTGAAAAATGGGCTAAAATGAGGAGAAATATACCATGCTTGCCTTGTTTCCCTGCTTCAACAAAGTGCCTCTCCCATTTATTGTGCTCACTCATAAACTCAGAGAAAAATAACGCTTCTCTCTACTGAGCTTGAATTCTTCATTTTGGCAAACAGGGTAATTGAGGGTTTGTGATCCTCTAAGCCTTTTTTTTTACCGAAGACCAAAAGAAAACCAGCTTTTTCATATACTGTTACTTCACAGGAGAGTGTTTTCCTAGAAAATGCAAACAGAAATGGAATTTGGTGGCACAAAAGGGAAAGGGAGAAAAACTTTCATACGCAAAATGTTTTTCTTCTCAGTTTCAACTGCTCCAGTAAATTACTGAGTCACTAAATGCAGAAAGAATAATGGTAAGGAAATATTCTAATTAATTTCTTTTTTAAAAAAATTACATCTGCTGAGTTCTCATTCAGGAATCTTTCACTCATTACACAAGAGCTATGCTGTTATTCTACTGCCTAATCAGGTTAACTTAATATGGTTTTTACAAAGTGATCTTCATGACTGTGCGGCACAGCCTTCTTCCTCTCTTTCATCACAATATTAAACAATCCTTCATCTCCTCTTTTTTCCTGTATGAAATTACATAATTTCCCCCCTCCAAGCAAGAACCTTGTACTATTTGCTGTTTAAAAAACCCCACGCTATATTTCCATTGAGCATGCTTCCAATTTTTGGAAAGCAAGCTACAAATATCTTCTCAAATAATACTATTGTGAGTGACCTTCAAATCCCTAAGCAAAATGCAAATTGTAAGCTTACAAATCCATCAGCAAGGAAAGATTCAACTGGCATAAAACCAAAATAAATAGAAATACTGATTGACATTCCCATTCTGCCATGATTGTGCTAAACTCAGGAAAGAAAAAGCAGTTTATACTTGATATGATGACGTCCCAAGGAATTTCTTCGAACAAAAGCCAAAACATGAGGCAAAATGCAGAAATTCCTTCTATAGTAACATTTTAAAAAAGCACGCAGCTTTGGTTAGAGAGCTAACCTTTATTGGAATTTACTGGCTTTTGCTGGTTTGCATCAACACTTGCACACAGAAAATGAAATGTTACAGACTGAAGAAAATGCAAATGTTACGGCCATTTGCCAGAATTTCTGCATTTATTCCGACAAGGTAAAAAAAACCAAAAAACCATTATTTGAAAAGAACTTCTACCCTATCAAACCCATGTTGTTTGCTACAGTTTTGTTAGTTTTACAGTAACCTCGTCAAGCAGATAATATTTTCCCAGATAGACAGACATAGAATTATGGAGATCAACAACCACAAGTTCCCCATATTAAATGATCAGGTCTTCAAAAGTGCACAGCTCCCATCAGAGCTCTTACAACAGTCAGTATGAATTTCAAAAGTGTTCAGTAACAGGGAGGAATTTTCAAACCTCTCTGGGTAAGTTAGGTGCATTAGTCTCATTGAAAGTTAATGAGCCATGTGCTGCTCAGGCTTTTGGGTGCTTTGCAGAAAACACACGTTACGACTGGTCTCCATGGTGAAGGTCGTGGGCATTTTTAAAATTTGATCTTATGCTGTTTAGGCTAAATTCTGCTCTTAGCTACAGATGTGCAGCTTCTCCTTATGGTATATTTATCTGTCCAATGAAGCAATAGCTCCCCTTGCTCTGCTCTTTTGAAAGTCTGTCAACACAAAGCATCTGAATGCAGCTGTGCAAAGAGCTGCATATCCTGGCCTCTAGCCCCTAGGACAGTCCCAATCCTCCATGCAGCTAAGCTGTGTGAAGCCTACTGCTGACAAGTTCTGCTGCATCTTGTACAGAAAGGAATAATCCACAAGGCTAAGAGAGTTATTGAGTAACCATAGGATGCACTATGGATGTTAACTCTGGTACCTAACTGTAAACATTGAAAGAGCAAGACTCTTAAGTCT